TTGAGTGCACGCACACACGCACCAGCCACTTCTGTAGAAAAGTAAGAAAAATAGGATGCAAGTTGCACCATGTTGCTTTCTTGGCTTGTTTGCTCTTGGCCCTCAACGGATCACTGAACATCGTTCACTTCTCGGTGCATCATAACTTTCTTATTCATTTGCTTAGTACACTTCTTGCTGTACAGAGCTATTCATATTTTATTTTTAATACTTGCAGAAATATTTTTCAAATAAATTATTTAAATTAATTAAAAACTAATTAATTAAAAATTATTTAATAAAAATTAATTATATAAAAATTACTTGAAAAATAATTAGTTGAATTAAAACTAAGTTGAATAGAGTTTTTAAAGCGCTTGATTGAATTAATGAAGGCAAATAATGAAAACATCAAATTAGAACAAAGAAAACGAAAACTGTTTGCCTAACTATTTGAAATATCGTTCCCAAATGTCTGTTTGAAAGCGAGTGTCTGTGTATATCTGCGTATGCTTCTGTCTGTGTGATTGTATCTGTGTGTGTATATGTGTGCTTGCACGTGAACATATGTGTCTGCACGTGTTTGTCTGTATGTTTTTCTTTGTTTTTGTTTGTGTCTGTGCTGTATGCGTTTATGTTTGCATTTGTGTGTCAGTAAGTGTATGTGCATGTGTGTTTGTGTGTGTGTGTTTGTTGTCAATGTAAACATCAACATGTCATGTGAATGAGTAATTGAATTTGTTTTGTACATTAGTAAACCGCTGGTGTGATGAATGCATCTTTGTTCATTAAATGAATAAATGGATGGGTGGATGGATAGATAAATAGGCAAACAAATGAATGAATGAAACAACAAATGAACAATATAATTAATCGCTGAATAATTATTTGAATAACTGCTTTAAAAATGAATTTCTGAAAATGTATCAAATGCTCAAAGAGGAATGCACACGCTAGAACAAGGAGGAATAAGCAAGCAAGACAAACCACTGAGGGAAGCAATGTTAAGAATGGAATTATTTGGTGTCGGCAGCCAGCTAAATCGATAGCATTTTAATTTTTCCTCAATAAGGAATTGGAGATGCGGTTATTAGTTGTCTAATCAAATTATTGATATTGCATCATCTGCCGCCTCTCAACAACATCACGTATGCACGGCCTGTCTCAGGCAAATTATCAGCTGTGTTTGTTGTCGTTGTGCAGGATGTTGTTGTGGTTGCTGTTGTTGTTACCCATGTTGTTGCTTACGTTTTTTGCGGATGTTGATAATTTTTTCCATCTATTTTGTGTTTCATTATATTATAGCCTCGTGGATCTTGCATCTGTACTGTGCTGCGCTGTTACTGGACGGTTTTGTAGTTAACATCTACCACTGACGTTTGTCGGCTTTCTGTTTGCATGTGCTGATGAACTAACAGGCTTCTGCTGTTCGTGTTTTCTGCGATTGTGGATCATCACTACCGAAGCAGCCCTTTATTAATTTAATCATTCGTTCATTCATTCATTCATTCATTCATTCATTCATTCATTCATTCATTCATTCATTCATTCATTCATTCATTCGTTCGTTCATTCATTCATTCATTCATTCATTTATTTATTCATTCATCCATCCATCCATTCATCCATCCATTCATTCATTTGTTCCTGATATTTTTTTATTTATTCCTCAATACATTATCCAGTGTTTCTATCGCAATAACTGGCATTTGTCGAGTTAATGTTCAATTAGTTTATCAGTGAATGAAATAGGCCAAGCAGTGTTATTTAACGACAGATTAAAATTATTAAAAAATCCAATCGGAGTAATTTCAAATGTTGTTATAGCAATTGAATGGTTTTTACAGGCAGCGTTAAAACATGATTTCAAGCTATTGCTGTATTATGAATGTTGTATTATGATTGCTAGGACGTCCTACCTCGGGGAACCGGGTCTCTGGACGCAAAACGAAGATTGATTGATATTATGATTGTTGGTAGTTTTTAGACCGCAGGAGATTCGTTTCGCAGCAAACCGTCAATTCACTGACTTCTACCCTGCGGTCCACAGAATGGCAATTCCTGGTCGGAAAGGGATGAACAGCTGTGACATCGGCAGGATTCAATTCAGAGCTGCATATATCATCAACCAGTTAACTTTTTATGTTAGAATTTTGTTGTGTCGTTTGGAGTGGAATATTAAAGCTGGCAAGCCGAAGGAAGACAACTTTCGCCTGGTGACCCGTGCATTCCGACAATGAGATCAAAAGAGTCTGCTGAGAAGTCAATTATGGCCAGAAAAGCAACCACCTACGCAAAGATGGCGTGTGGCGTCGAGCAGCCGGTGGCTTGTGCGATTTTTTTGTTTCGAGACTATTGGAAACCGTTAAATAATTGTTATAATAAAAATCAGCATCACTTTAATTAATAAACACGTGAAACCGTCTTTATTTTATTTTTTTGTATTTAAATAATTTATTTGTACAGTAATACAAAAGTGAAACCGAAAAAGAAACACATCGTAATTAAATCGGTCCCAAAATATTCAAAATCAAAGCTAAAATAAGTTAAAAGCTACAACGAAAAAATAAACACATCAAAAATGTAAAAACAGAAGTTGGAAAATACGTATTTTATTTATATTATTTAATACTATAAAAATTAATTTATAAAAACTAAATTGTTAAAACCAGGTGATAGAAAAGATTAACAAACATTAAATAGAAACATTAAAAACATTATTTTACTGTTAACAATAAACCTGCTCTATGTTAAACATGAGAAATATTTTTTTAATTTGTATTTTAACGGCATATTCGTGAGGCATGATCGAATTTAAAACGACAGTCTGTTCCATTTTGAGATTCCATAAAAACAAATATTCCTATCTGATATTGTATTTTTAATTAATTTATCCTTTAATAGAAATTTTGTAGACTACCTAGTATGTACCAACTTATCATCCTAAGATTGTTTAACAAATGATTCTTGCTAGTATTTGTACATGAATTGACTATTACTGTCTAAGATTACTGTTGTTTTAAATGATTTGGTTGTTTGTTGGTTGTTGGCATTTGTTCATATTGTTATTAAAAAATATTCCATTTATTTACGATGTCTTACTGAGCTTGAACTTTATTCAAGCCGCACCAAGTCGCTCTTTAATAACCAAGAGTAGCATTTAATTGTTAAAATGATTAAGTCATGTTGGATCGCTGGATGATGATTTATATAAAGTGAGTTAGAATGTTTCTACCTCAAGTTACTATGCAAAAAAAATTTAAAAAGTAGAGCATGATGTTTCTTCAGTCGGTTTTCTTCCGAGAAACTGAACTGAACTTTATAGTACGAAGAGCACATTTGCGGACCATTGTTTCGTTCATAATTATCATCATCTTCTTCATCATTATTTTACTAACATCTGCATTCATCATTATCATTATCCTCACTATCATCGTTACCATAATTACTATCATCATTCTCATCATCGTTATCATCACTATCCTGATTACAATAATTTTACGATCATCATCATCATCCATCATCATCATCCTCATCGTTACCATACTATAATCATCACTATCATCATCATCACCACCACATCATCATCACCACCACAACTTTTTTTGACGACGTTTTTCTTGTTCAAAATTTTACACCACGTTTTCCATTAATACCATAAACGTTGTTACCTAACTGACGTCATCATCAATGTCATCGTCATCATCATCGTCATCATCATCGTCATCATCATCGTCATCATCAAACAATTGACCTGATCAACATCTTTTGTTGTATCACCATTATCACTATCATTATCATCGTTATCATCTGCATAATTGATGATGATGATCGTCTTTGTAACAACTGCTATTACGTCATCATAATTATTTATCATCTTAGTCAATGACATTGTCATTCTAGTTGTCACCACTATAATAAAAAACATCATCATCACTATCAGCATCGTCACTATCTTCATCATCACTATCATCATCGTCACTATCATCATCATCATCACAACCACTTCCCTAAGCTCTGCATCGTAATTGAATGAAATTTAATTTTTTTAAATTAATGGGCTTTAAAATGTCATTATTGAATTCCCTGAAACCTTGTAAGCGTCGAAGGCGCCATTTTATCTCCAGAAAAATTATTTAACACACGCGCGTTGCATGAACGAATGTGTGTGGACGTGCATCAAAGTAGGCGGATGTGTTGTTGTTACTGTGCGTGATGTCGCCTGGATGTGTTGTTTTTACTGTGCTGATGTCGCCTGGATGTGTTGTTTTTACTGTGCGTGATGTCGCCTGGATGTGTTGTTGTTACTGTGCGTGATGTCGCCTGGATGTGTTGTTGTTACTGTGCGTGATGTCGCCTGGATGTGTTGTTGTTACTGTGCGTGATGTCGCCTGGATGCACGTGAAAATTACGTGCGTGAATGTTTATAAAGATATGCAAGGAGGGGCATGGAGGCATTATTTCTTTTTTCAAAATAAGGCCTTGTTTGCATGGTGAATTTGGGTAACAACTGGTTCATTAAATTTTCATGATGAACTTGGATAATTCTATTTTCAACAAATTTAACAATTTCCAGAAAATTTTAGTAAGGAAAATTGAAAATACAAACTTAAATTGATTCTTCTTCTTTCTCGTGCCTTTTTTCTTTTAGGACATTGGCGACAATCGACCTCCACAAAACTCGATCTTTAACACTTAGTAAGAGTTGAAATGTGGTGATATTCAACAAGGGACACAAGGACTTCACGAATGTTATTTGTTGTTGATCGCGACTTATTTTCCCTGAAATCTTCCCAGTAGTTGTTAGATTTTCCATTCTTTCTTTCCGTACGATATTACCAATAAACTTTAACTGCCCCCTCTGATTATCTGTAGTAATTTCCTCTTTTCATAACCGGACTGTTTTAATACATCTTCATTCGAGTATGAGAGGTCCAACTAAGTTAGCACAGGAAAAATGTAACACCCAAAAAGTTTTTATTTTGTTGATATTCTGATTTTACTGTTGGTGAGAATGTTTTTCATTTCAGAATTGCCTCTTCCGCCACAGCTATCCTTCTTTTGATATCCACATCATATTTACAACCTGAGGCAGTCAGACTTCCGAGATAATTGAAGCTTTTGACTTGTTTCACCTGTTTCACATTAATGATTATGGAGCAGATCGGGGCGGTTTTGCTTTTACTGATAACCATGCACTCTGTTTTGTTGATGTTAATTTGCAAGACTTTCCTTTCAATTTTAAAAATCAGTTTGGAAACAATTGTTTGCAGTTTTTCCATTGAATCTGCTATAAGAGCTGTATCATAACAATTGGGTAAAATTCATACATAACTGTATATAAATATACTTGTTTGTATATATATATATATATATATATATATATATATATATATATATATATATATATATATATATATTAGTATGTGTGTGTGCAGATGCGAATATATATGTATTTGTGTTTAGTGAGTGTGTGTGTGTGTGTTATTCGTATGTAGGAGTGTGTATATATGTTCATATTTCATTATAACTTTAATTGTCAATCAAGTTTAGTGGAGACACATATGGAAAACAGTCTAATTAATTCACCATTCATTTGTGAGTAATAAAAAAATTTCATTATTATTTTGTTAGCATATTCTGAATAATTTATTCATTTTTATTTTACGTTATCCTGATGATGCTAATCATGCTAATCTGGTCCAGGGTTACCCCCTGCAAGAATTTAGTTTCTTCTTCCGGGTCCCCCGATCACAAATATATATAGGATTAATTATTTATGAAAATCACAGCATATTCGGCGTTAGTTAACATCCAATTTAACTTTACGATTTTTCTAATGGTTGATCTTGAATCATTTTCAGTTTTGCGTTTTTGGTTCTCCTTTAAATAACATTTCTTTGATAAGTCCAACAAGTTTGCGAAGTATCGATAATGGATCATAACCATCTATCCATATAATATACAGTCTATCCAACGCTAGAAATTTGGTAGATTATATATATATATATATATATATATGTAGATTTTCGCCGGGCGACATTCGAATTCCGCACCACGCGGTCCCGAACCGCGTCCGCATACGAATATCCACCCGAGCCTTCGCTTCGGCGGAGTCTTTCCTGGCCGGGATCCGCCACTCTACAATAGACCTTCTCAGGGTCTGAAAACACGGGCCGGGCGGAAGTTTGTTCGCGCCCTGCTTGTTGACTAGAGACGCCGACCTCGTCAACTATCAACAAGTCTTCTTCAACATCCATTATTTTAGGTAGAATAATTAAGCCGAGCCAAACTTCAAGTGTATACTTCTTTTATTCAATAAAAGAAATAAAATAACAAACAAAATAATACAAATCAAACCTCTGTTCTTATTAAAACAAAACGATAAGTCCAAAATTAATCTATTAATAATACAACTGACAAGCAAGAGACCAAAACCTAAAATTAAGATAACAAACGACCAGCCTACAATATCTTAACTCGCGGCCTTTTATATGTTTTTACCGCCCTATCTACATAATGCTTTCTATATCATAGAAAATTCTATACTCCTATCTATACTCTCTTCCTATACTCAGGAAAGCGATACAGCACAGCAGCGTCGCATATATAGCATATCAAATAACAAAATATACATGCATAAAATGACTAGTAAAATATATAGATATGTATAGGCGGCACGCCTCAAAGACGCAATCATTATCATCACAATTTCACAAAATATACAGGCGGCATATTTCAATCGCGCAATCATTATCATCACCATACAGGCGGCATATTTCAATCGCGCAATCATTATCATCCCAATCGTCACAACTTCACAAAGCTCCCCACCCTCTAAAACGTCGTCCCGACGTTTGCTCTTATAGATCTTCACCAGACTCAGGAACTTCCACCATCCATCTTTCTAGCTCCGGTCCCCACCTCGTCGGTTTCCTCCTTTTTCTTTTTGTTGTGGCCGTCGTGCTCGATTGAGTTTCCGTCAGTTGCCGATCGTTTTCTGTCGGTCGTTCATCCAGACCAGCAAACAGGTCCATCGATGGCTGGTTACCTACGGCAAACAAATCTGGTCGCTGATCAAAGAGTTCGTCAGCAAGCTTCACAAGTTCTGGAACGATGTCCGGCTGCCCTGGTAAAAATTCTGGCGTATCTTCGCCTGTCCAGGTTTGGACAAGCGACTCGGTCGACTCGTCGCTACTTCGTGATGGTGCTTCTGTTGGCTCCCCTATGGAATCGTCTTCTGCGATGTCTTCAGGCTCAACCTGTTCCGCAATCACCTTCTGATGCGCCGGAGTATGTCGCCTCAGCTGTTGTTTTACCGGTCGTGCATCCTGAGTATCAATCTTATGAAAAACTCCTTTTGTAGCACCTATTTCCCCACTCGCACAGCTAAATCTGTCTGAGAAACTTTTAAGTATTTGAATCAACTCTTCTCTTGCTTTCTTAGAAATATCTTTTACTAATCCATCAACCATACCTGTAACTTCTGTTAGATTTTCATATGCTAGACGATCAACTGATTCCTTTGCTTCCACAGCCGATGATAAATCTGGCAATCGCGTTCCCCGGTTTATCACCCCCGGCTGATCGTTGACATTCAAGATCCTAACACACTGTCTTTCATATTTTATAGGTAGTAACGTTCTAGCTACATATACACCCGATTCTATTTGTCTGTTTTCCGAACACATAAATCCGGTCGATTCCAACTTGGACGGCTGGCGAACAATCATCTTTGCTGGCACGTCTAATTCAGTCTGCGCAGGGATGCGCACTTCTGTGTGAGCTTCAATACGACAAAGCTTCCTGCATGAAAAATGTTTAATAACTAATTTCATCGTTCTATTTTTGTTACCCACGGCGATTTTTCCTTCGCCAAACTTCCACGAGATATGATTGTTCCTGAGCCAATCTAAACCTAAAACAATTTCTGAAACATGATCAGACACCAACACTAACGCTGATTTGGAATAATCATCAACTTTTATTTGCAACTTCATTTCTCCTTTGACTGGAATTTCTGTGTTGTTGACAGCTTTCAATCTCTTTTTCGTCGGTCTGATCTTTGTGACATCAACCATAGACGTTGGAACAATGGATACACTACTGCCACTATCAAGTAAACCTAATCTTCTTTTGCCATTAATTGTGATTGGCAGATACATGACACGATCGTTACTTTCAATTGACTTGTTCACGTAATCTACTGTGCTGCTTGTCATTCCTTTCTGCGGGCACTCCCTCACAAAATGACCTGTCTTTCCACATTTGTAACAACCTTTGAAATTCACTTGACTATAAGTTTGAGATTTGCAGGTCTCATTCTTCTGAGGACATTTGACTGCAAGATGACCTGGCTTCTTACAATTAAAACAAATTTTCTCTCGCTCAACTCGGGATACAGTTGGCTGCACTCTTTTATTTCTGAGTTCTTCGAATGACTTTTGAAGAAACGCAATCTGTCGTACCATTGACTCCATGTTTTCTGCCCCTGCTTGAAAATCTTTAACCTGCGGGTCAAACCTGTGAGATGAATCTACCACCATCTTTGAAACTTCAAGACGCTGTGCGAATCTAAGAGCATCGTCAATGTTCTTTGGTTCTTTTTCCCTAACCTTTAATTCTAATTCAGCATTATCGAGGGCTGACAAGAAAAAGTTCCTAGCTAGATGTGTAGCTAATCTTGACTGCTCTCCTGGATAGGCTAATGACATGAGTCTTTTAGTAACCATTGACAACTCTCGTAACGACTCACCAGGTTTTCGACGAAGAATCTGTAATTCGTACCTGCATGACTCTTCATGACTTCTTGTTCCAAAACGATCTTCTAGCTTAGATACCAGCTCTTGGTAACCTAAACCTGTTAAATCCCAGAGAACCTGTGAAGCTTCACCTGTTAACGAACATGACAAATACGCTTCCATGTCTACGAGATTCCAATTATTGTACCTGGCACATATCTCAAACTTTTTTAAGAAAGTTTTGAGACAGCCGGTGCCATCAAATCTGTCAGGTCGAAGCAATTCGCGACGACAAAAGTCGTTGTCACGCTCGGCACCTATACGCGGTTGATGAACCTGAGACTTCACACCAGTCGAATGAAGCGGTTCCTGACTGTCACACGTCGACTCGTGTTCAACTGTGTCTCTCTCTCGCTCGGTCGCTCTGCACCTGTTGCTGTTACCTAAAATTTTATTTTGCCGTGATCTACTGGACGCTAATCGCAGCTCATTCAGTCCGAACTCCTGCAACTTCGGATCACCCTGGCACCTAAAACCTAAAATATCCTGTTTGGGGATAAAACTGTAACCTAAATTGTTCGCTGAAAAATCAATGCGCGGCTTTTCTTCGTACCTGTCAACAATTTCAAAACGATTGTTGTTTAAAACAATTTCATTTTGTTGGCTGGCGGGCGTTGAAAGTCTGCTCGAGGTTGATTTTCGATCCTCCTTCGGTTCCTGTGACCTAAAATCTAAAAAAGTTTCATGTTGTCGAACATGGCACCTGTCACCTAAAAAATTTGGAGAATCACCTTGGCTCCTGCTGCACCTAAAACCTGTTATGTTTGAAAAAGAGGCCCCACGTTGGGCGCCAATTGTAGATTTTCGCCGGGCGACATTCGAATTCCGCACCACGCGGTCCCGAACCGCGTCCGCATACGAATATCCACCCGAGCCTTCGCTTCGGCGGAGTCTTTCCTGGCCGGGATCCGCCACTCTACAATAGACCTTCTCAGGGTCTGAAAACACGGGCCGGGCGGAAGTTTGTTCGCGCCCTGCTTGTTGACTAGAGACGCCGACCTCGTCAACTATCAACAAGTCTTCTTCAACATCCATTATTTTAGGTAGAATAATTAAGCCGAGCCAAACTTCAAGTGTATACTTCTTTTATTCAATAAAAGAAATAAAATAACAAACAAAATAATACAAATCAAACCTCTGTTCTTATTAAAACAAAACGATAAGTCCAAAATTAATCTATTAATAATACAACTGACAAGCAAGAGACCAAAACCTAAAATTAAGATAACAAACGACCAGCCTACAATATCTTAACTCGCGGCCTTTTATATGTTTTTACCGCCCTATCTACATAATGCTTTCTATATCATAGAAAATTCTATACTCCTATCTATACTCTCTTCCTATACTCAGGAAAGCGATACAGCACAGCAGCGTCGCATATATAGCATATCAAATAACAAAATATACATGCATAGATTTTATATGCATTTGTAAAATGACTAGTAAAATATATAGATATGTATAGGCGGCACGCCTCAAAGACGCAATCATTATCATCACAATTTCACAAAATATACAGGCGGCATATTTCAATCGCGCAATCATTATCATCCCAATCGTCACAACTTCACATATATATATACACACATATATATATATATATATATATATATATGTGTGTGTGTGTGTGTGTGTGTGTGTGTGTGTGTGTGTGTGTGTGTGTGTGTAAGCATGAAAAATCATCAGTTATAAGAATAAATTGAAAAATTATAAAAAAAATCATCTCTAGGTAATAAGCCACGTAATAAAATGAACGTTAATAATGTAATCTGCAATCAACAGCAGTTCGACATCATTCGCAAATGTCTTTAACTTTCCAATATAAATAAATTCAAGCCCAAATACAAACACGTACAAAAATAAACATTGCAAGAATCGCAATAACGCATTAGAAATTTTGACCCAGACATTGAACAGAGCATTGATGAGAAGATTTTCAATTTGAACAAAATTTACTCTACCACTCTCTTCTTGCTCCTCTAAGTTGCATGGAAACATTTTTATGAATTCATTTTGGTGAAAAATATCATCAGTTAGTTGTGTAAAAAGGTTCATTAAAATTTTTATTAAACAAGATCATTTGTCGAATTATTTTTTCAGTCTGTTAGCAAGCTTCAAACTTTTATTTCTGATTAAAAGTTAATTAGAGAGCGTCGTACGGAGGGGAGTGATGAGAAGAGATTCGATAATTCGCTTTTTCGATAAGTTGGCAACCTGCTCCTTCCTGTTTGGCTTGACGGAAGTGACTGGAGATGGATGGAAACATGGTGTGTAATGCAAGCAATTAACTGCTGCCTGCTTCTCTGCTGGTCTATGTGCGCTTGTATGCCTGTGTGAACATGTTGGTTTGCCCGTTTGCTTAAGTGATATGAACGTTTGCACGTTTGTGTCGTGTGTCAACGTGTTTGTTTAAAAGAACATGTTTGTTTGCTAGTATTACTCAGCGGTTTTTTTGTTTTCATACAAAAAATAAATAATCAGCAATTATGTAAATATTTTATTTTTTAAATATTTGTTATTTATTAGACGGCACAATTATTTTTATATTATCTAAAATTGTTTGGTGAAAAACTATTAAATATTTGTTAACTTGATCGATGATTCACAAGCAAAATATTTTTGCACGTTTTTTGTTCACTGTTTTATTCTTCCATTTGTTATCACTCTTCAATTTTTCACTTTTTGACACCCATTCACTCTTACTTCACTCTTTCGCTTCCTCCTCACTCATTCATGCCTTCGTCTGCTCGCACGTCTTCACAATTTGGCGCCTTACAAATGTGCAGCGCATGAATATTATATCGTGCCTCCGCGCTTTAACAGTGAATATAAACAAAATTATGTAAATGATATTTTAACATCTCATCTCGTGATTCCGAACGCTCATTCTCTTTCACTTCTTTTTTCTTTCTTCTCTTCCGACTTTCCACTCACTAATTTTTATTTTTCATTATTTCTCTAGTCATTCTCTCATTCATTTAGTTTATCCAACCATTTTTTCTCTCATTTATTTGTTTTCAAATATTTTTTATTAAAATTTGCTGATGTTCAACAACAACATCGATCAACGTCAACATCATCATCATCATCATAAAGGCAATACAATACAATTTTATTAGAACTCCTTGATGAAAAAAAAGAACAAGGCTCAGGATGACCGTGAAGTAATAATATCAACATCAGCATCAACATCAACATCATTATCAGCATCAACATCTTCATCAAAATCAACGGTTGGTCATTTCAAATCTTTGTGGAAGAAACTGAAAACCTTTTTTTTCCAAACCGACCAGTCACTTCAGAAACGGGCTTCAAAATCTTTCTTAGATAAACTGGTGCATTAGCTGTAAGACAATCGCCCACAATCAGAGCTCTATTTAACTGAATTCTCTCTGGCGTACAAAGCCAGTGTAGTTCATTTAGTATGTAACTCCATATCGACTCAAATTTCGGAACCCCCGGCGTCAAATCTAGTAGAAAAATTAAAACCCAACTGAATACAATCCAGCAGTTAAGATGATATTTTTCCATACATAATTGTGCTGCAGTAAACAATCATATTTCGACTACAGACAAAACTGCATGCAATTGTTTTTACTGAATCAAATGTCAAATATCGTCTTGTTCTGATTTGCAAAGATGATAAGAAAATCTCTATTTTTAATAATCTTCTGACGTCATTAGTTTCTCAATCATTATCACAATCATCATTGTCATCACAATCATCATCGTTATCACAATCATCATAGTCATCACAATCATCAACAGCATCAATGATTACCTTAATTAACGTCATCATCATTGTTGATGTTAACATCACCTTATATCTCAACTGAAATCTTTAGCTCTTTATCGACCTAACAGCTAGTTAACTTCCAAAAGATGTATTTTAGAGAAATTTTACATTTCATTTCTTTCAAAGAAAATTTAAAAACTGACCCCATCTTCTAGACGGCGCGCCATGCATCATAAATTTGGACCCTGAAGATGTCAAAGTATGATTTGACGTTTGGCAGTATCGGGTAAAATTTGGTTTTGAGTTCGACCACGACCAGGGTCAAGGCACATTTGCCGGCCAACCTCCTCCAAACGTTCCCGACCGCAATCGGTCTGAACCCTCCGTCTTTCTTATTTAAAGCTATTAGTCGGCCTCCAAAAAAGAACCGGCGGACGGAGAGTGGGCAAGCTCCAGATAGGATCAAATTAATGAATTGGGTTAAGGATTTCAGTGTGTCGTCGATTGGCAAGGGGCCTGAAAAAACATCCTTAAGGTGCTGGGGTCGTAGGCTATCCAGGCCTCCAGAAGAACCGTTTTTGAACGATTTAACGGCCCTCAGCACCTCGGCGGAAGAAACGCAACCAGCCGTTGGTGTCAATGCGGGAAAGACCCGCCTGTCCACCGGAATTTTTGGGTGGATGGAACATAATTTATCGAAGGTGGCCGGCGAGCTCTCCGCTAGGCCCTCCGGCGAACAGACAAGTCTGACAGCCGAGGACAGGTTTCCCTGTTCAATACAAGATGACACAGCGTTGGTCCACCGATCGGGGTTGTGCTTTTGTGATTTGGCATTATTGAACCCATCAAAGCACAGTACCAGGGTTTCAAGACCAATAGTTGAATATTCGCTTAGACACTTGTTGACCAGATTGCCCTGGTTGACCCGGCGACCCCCTCTGGAAGTCTTCTGTAAGACGTATGGGACAAAACAGTGGAGTCTAACTCCGTGAGCCGGGTTACCAGGGTCATTACAAACAGCCGTCAGTAAGGCGTTCAGATCATGTGCGAATTTCTCCCTGCATGGCTTAGGGATATGGTCGTACACCGGTACACATTTCAGCACGGCCGTCAGCTTGTCAAAAACACCAGAGTAATCCAGGTCGAGAGGATCACCGGAGACCGATGCGGCCGAAGACCGTGTGGGCAACCCGGGCTTGGGGTTGGGTGCGGACCGAGAGGCGAAGCAGCTTTCGCGCCAGATGGATCAACTTTTTTCCGAGACCCCGAGCATTCCTTTCTTTTCACTTTAACTCCGTGCCGACATAACTTCCCGTCTGGAGTGCTTCTATAGTGGTTAAAGCAAACGGGGCACTGTTGTAACGTTAGAGCCATATGTGATTAAAAACAACCAAGAAACGAAGGAAAGGAAACAAACCAAGTGGGGTGGATGGATGAATGAATGAATGAATGAACCAGCGAATGACCAAATGAACGGGCCGGCGAACAAACGAATGAATGAGTGAATGATGGGGGAATGAATGAGCTAATTACTGAACGGACGAGTGAGGGAAAAAAAAGAATGAATGAGTGAATAAATGAATGAACGAACGAATGAATGAATGAATAAATGAATGAATGAATAAATAAACAACCGAACGAATGGATGAATGAACGAATACATGAATGAGTGACGGAATGAATGAACGAGCGAACGGATGAACGACTGAATTATCTTTAAATATTTAACCAGTGGAAAATATATATAACTTTTTCAACTTTTATTTATTTTTTTTTCTTTTCTTTTTTTTATTGATGAATGAATGAGTGAGTAAACAAATGAGTGAATAAGTGAATACAAAAACCTAGGTAACAGTGTGGGAGGAGACAACTATTGCAGCAAACTTTGGCCCAATCTCTCCCCTTATAGTTTTTTTTACACAGATTTTAAAAATTGGTTTAGGAAATTTCTTTTTTATAAATAAATTTTAATTTTAATTTTAAATTTTAATTTCAAAAGTAAATTAAAAATAAATGTCGGTAGAAGGTAAATAAGTTAAAATGTAGTGAACTTTCCGATAATAATAAAAACAGGTCACCTGGCGCAGGCCGGTGACCTGTAGCAGCTATGAGCTGTGAATAAATTATAATATTGATAAAAAAACAAAAAACAAGAAAATTGGGCGAGGTAGGGCAGAAAAACGATAAATAATGACGGAAAAACAAACCCGGGACAAAATTACAGCCGATGACCCCAAAAATCATATGTAAAAACGATTTAAAATCTATGAATTTAACAAAAATAACCAGGAAATTAAAACAATCCAGTCGGCTTTGAATGTGAACAAACGATGTATGTATGTGTGTATGTGTGTGTGTGTGTGTGTGTGTGTGTGTATGTATGTATGTATGTATGTATGTATGTATGTATGTATGTATGTATGTATGTATGTATGTATGTATGTATGTATGTATGTATGTATGTATGTATGTATGTATGTATGTATGTTAAAACCAAATCATTGACGAATGACACCAAAAGCCAAGCGTCTAACTAAATTTGATTTTATTTGCTATAACGTCACTCAACCCCGTCGGCATTCAACTCCACATTTTCCAACACACAGACGCGCAAAAACCGCTGCAGAATGCACGAGATATTATTCATAGCAAAAAAATATTCCCTACTATCGCCTGACCTAATACTGATATTTTTACAAATCCGATTGAAAAACCCGGAGGTGTTACGATCCATGAGGCCGAGGACCTCGATACAAATCGGTAAAAACTCCATCGAGAGGAGAGCTCCGTCGTACTTTTTGATCTTCTCGTCAGATGCTCTGGTTGCAGCCAAACCGCTTTCTTTGCTAGTAAGCTGCACGTAGCGCTCTGCAAAGGTGCCCGGAACGGTAACATCCCACGCCAAGCACCTGCCGGCTCTCCAAGGGATCAAGGTACACCCGTCAGGGCGCTTACCGTCGTGCGCCGCAATGCCCGACGGTTCCTTTAAAACCGGAATTGAGGCCTTGGAGAAAAGTCGGCACACAAAATCGTTTATGGCTGAATGTCGCTGCTGGCGACCTCCGCCAAAACGACAAACATGACCATGATGGCCAAGTTCATCCGCCTCCGCGCCGCACCTGCATGTATATCGACTCTGAACGGCCAACCCCAGACGGAAGCCAATGGCTATCCTGACCGTTTCGTCGTCCAATCTGGTACCCACCGACGTATTGGGCAAAGATCTCAGCCAGCCGCAACTCGCCTCGCTGGAAACTGCCAGCAAGCGAGCTGAGGTCGCCGAGTCAGGGCTTGAGGAAAGCAACTCTTTGAATGTGCGTTTATATGCTTCCTCCAAAATGTTGCCCTGGGAAAGGTCTGTTGGTTGGATTGGAGTCGGTGGAGTACAGTGCAGGCTACTAAATTGCCGAAGAAGGGCAGACTGTAGGTCAAGCGTGGCAGATGCGGAAGATTTATAAACAATTGGTGCAAGCTGAACCACGCTTAGTAACCCCAGTCCCCCAAATCGTACCGGCAGCTGAGCCTGAGACCAACCCTTGTCGGTAATATCGACGTTACATATAGCTGAGAGGGCCACCCGCTGAGCACCCTCAAATTCGCCCAAAATGGCCGCATTAACAAAATTGGATGTGCGCAAAAAATACATCAATTTCGGCAAACTGAGGGCGCCGCGGATGATTGTCAGCGCGTCGTGGACCGGGAGAAGAGAGACACGTTCGAGGGCAAATCTTAGCTCAAAAAGTTTTTTATTAAAAAACCTGTCCTGATGATCGCCGGCCATCATTGGAGTGCCTAAAAAATTTAATGATGAATGAGGCACTGTGGGGACATTAGCCAGCACGTGTGGCATTTGAAACGTGTCATTTACAAGTAGTTCACACTTGTTTGTGTTTAATTCAAGACCAATGATGAAAGCGCCGACCCTCAGCGACAGGAAGTCGTCCGCTAAGATGTTGCCCTCTGCGGCCAAGCTGACATCGTCCAGGTAGCCACAAACAAACGCCGAGGATGACTTTGTCAACAGCGGGTGAAGGGTTAGAGCAAAAAGCATCGGTCCCAAAGGGTCGCCTTGCTGTACGCCCTCGCACGATTCAACCACCCAGGCGTCGTAACCGAGAGAAGAGACTCGGCCATATGCGGAATGACAAAAATTATAAATTTGAGGACAGTGCTGCTTAACTGCCTCTAACATTGAGTCTCTTCTCAGGGTGTTGAAAGCGTTCTTGAAATCAATCTTCAAGAATCCCCACTGTTTTGGAAGTGCTGAAATCAGTTCACGTACGGCGTGGACGGCCGCCTCAGCACCACCTTTTACGCCGACGCCCAATTGGATAGGATAGAGTTTGGCTTTGACCTGTTCCAACAATAGCGCCAGAGCGCACTTACTGGCCAGCCTCCTCCAGAAATTCCCCACCGCGATGGGTCTGATCCCTCCATCTTTTTTGTTTAAAGCCACCAGACGACCCCCAAAAAAGAAACGGCTAACCGCGGAAGGGCAAACCCCAGATAACAACAAATTTACAAACCGGGTGAAGTTATTTAACAATTCATCGGTGGGCGTCGGACCGGAAAGTAAATCCTTTATGTGCTGAGGCCTCAAGCCATCAAGGCCTCCCGATGAACCATTATTAAACGACTTTAAAGCCGTCAACATCTGGGCTGGTGAAACGCGACCATTGAACGGCTCCTGCGCGGGGAAAGCTCGCCTGTTCAATGGAGCACTGAATGAATAGCTTTGAGTTTAGCGAGTGTCTCAGGCGAGCTCTCCGCCAGGCCTGCGGGCGAACAAGCAAGTCTGACGGCCGCCGAGAGACTGCCCTGTTCAATCCGAGTGGTTACTGCACTAATCCAACTGTTTGGATTGTGCTTACGCGGTTTGGTGTTGTGGTCAGTGTTGAAGCTTGCCACAATAAACTCGACCTCGGTCGAATTGAATTCGGCCAACCGTTTAATAACGTAATTGGCTTGATTAGTCCTACGACCGCCCCTGGTTGGCTTGAACAAAACGAATGCGAAAAAACATTGGAGCCTGCACCAATGGGCCGCGTCGCAGGGATCATCGCAAACGGCCGTCAATAAAGCCGACAATGCTTTAGATACCTTGTCTCTGCACGGTTTGGGAACGTGATCATACAGGTGGGCAGTCCTCAAAACGACCGTCAGCCTGTCAAAAACATGAAAAAAATCCACTTGAGAGGGACTCTCCGAGACCGACGCCGAAGAACCGCGTGTAGCAACATGAGGGTTGATGACAGGTGCAGCGGTAAGCGGCGGTCGCGCGGAAGCAGATGAACCAGCCGGAGGCTGGTCGGCTGCCTTGAACGAACCAGGGCATTCCTGGCCCTTCACTTTGCCTCCATGTCGATATAGTTTACCGTCCGGTTTTATTTTATAATGATTTAAACAAACCGTGCATTGGTATAGGACCGGTGCCATTACGTCAACGAAATAAAAACAAAAGCGAGTAGATAAAACCGTGTGAACAGTGATAAAATAAAAAAAATAAAATTGTGGTGAAAATAAAAAAGTTTAATTTTAAATTTTAATAAATTTAAAAATTAAAAGAAAAACTGTGAATGAAATAGAGAAAACAAAAATAAATATTAATGAGCATTGTACGGTGCAGCTGTAAAAGCCCACAGCTGTTGTTAAAGTATGTTAAAGCTAAAATTAAAAATTTGAGACCACAAAAGTTAAAAAACCAACCGAACGGCGGGAACCTAATCTGAAAAAGGGCAAAAAAGCGACAACCAATAAAAACCACACCAAAAAACCGAAATTATTGCAACAAAAACCTTAAAAACCAGAAATATTACTAAAAATTAGCGAAATACTAAAAATGTGAAAGCCGACACCAGCTGAGCGAACGTGTATGTATGTATGTATGTATTTTTTTGACATTTTGACATTTTTTTTTATTTCATCAAATCAAACAATGAAATCAGAAAAATGAAATCAATGAAAGGAAATGATCTGGAAATCGAAAAAGAAATCTGGACTTCTTGTACTGATCACCAGTGTCAATTTGTAATAATGATAAATGAGTAGCTTTAAACAAATAAAAGAATTCAAGGTACCCAAACAGATTATAAAGAGTAATTCTAATATTTCAAAACTGTTCCGAAATATTAAACATAATTTAAAAAAAAAAAAGTTCAATATACCTAAACACAATATAATGTAGGTTAGAGATATTTCAAACAGTAATTCTAATACTTCAAAATTGTTTCGAAGTTTAAAATTTAATAACACTTTGACTAACTTCTAAATTTTGAATCTTATCTTATAGAAATACCACGCCAGAAGCACATACACTCACTCACGCGCACAAAAACACTCACGTAAACACACACCTGTTCATTCACACACACTCACACAAGCACAGCACTCATTCACACACACTCACACAAGCACAGCACTCATTCACACACACTCACACAAGCAACCACATTCGCACACACTTAGACACACACAATGCTTACATGAACATGCTTTCCCAGATAACTAGATGGTGGTGTCGGGATCTAAGTTTGTTAAAAAGTTACGTAGCTTCCTTTTAAATAGTTGTAGGCTTTTGATTTCATGTAACTGAGGAGGAAGCAGTTCAGCCCAAATTTTTGGTCCAGTAAGTTTAATACTTGATGAAAATAATTTAATACGGGTTCTTTGTGTGTAAAAGAATTGGGTGTGTCTTGTATGGGCAGATAGAATAGAATTGCTTGTCGTGTAAAGGTGGTCTAGAGGAGTAGGAAGAAGTTTATTAATAAATTTGAAAACAAGTATGGCTGTGAAATAGTAATATATAAACCTTAATGGTAGAATATTTTATTTGCAAAAAAGGGTTTAGTATGGGCTAAAGGATTAGTATTAAAGATAAGACGTATTGAGCGTTTTTGAGGGAGCGTAATGTTGTACAAGTGACTTTTAGGACTGTTTCCCCATACAGTTATGCAGTAGGTAAGATGGGGATAAATAAAAGCGTAGTAAAGGTTTAGTAGAGCAGACTGAGAAAGTTTGTATTTTATTTTGTAGAAAATTCCAATTAGTTTATTGACCTTTTGGGAAGTTGATTGCAGGTGGTAGTCCCATGAGAGGTTATCTGTTATATTGATACCTAGGAATTTAGTTGAACGAGTACGATTAATTGGATTGTTGTTAAGCAGCAAGTTTAGATCTTGGACTTGGTTAGTTAATATTTTGGGACCAAAAATTATATAAGAACATTTGGAATGATTTAGTAGTAGTTTATTTGCCAGAAACCAGTTGGAAAATCCTGATAGTTCTTGGTTGACGATGTCTCGGCAGCTGTTGATGTCGTCTGGTGTAAACAAAATGTTCTTGTCGTCGGCAACATTTGGCTAATGATGAGACGTTACAGAGGTCATTGATGTAGACTAGAAATAAAAAAGGACCCAGTATAGATCCTTGAGGAATTCCATTCTGGACATGAGTTTTATTTGATTTGAAGTTATCGATATAAACATATTGAGAACGCAAGGAGAGATAGCTCTCCAACCAATTGAAAGCGATTCCCCTCACACCATACCACTCAAGTTTTTTTAGGAGTACGCTGTGGTCAATTACATCAAATGCTTTTGAAAGATCCAGAAATAGGCTAACAGATAGTTTTTTGCTATTCATACCGTTTAGGACATGTTGGTTGAATGCTTGGCCCGGAAGCCATATTGGCTGTTACATATAATGCTGTTAAGATTGAAGAAAGAATTTAATCTGATGTACATTATATTTTCCAGAATTTTGGATAAAGGAGACAACAGAGATATGGGTCAGTAGTTATTTATATCATCCAGGGATCCTTTTTTGTGGATAGGAATAATTCTGGATATTTTGAAGGTATCTGGAAAAATTCCCGTTGATAATGATAAATTGAAGATGTGGATTAAAGGTAAAGTTATGGAATGGATTATGCTTTTTATTAGGTACATGTTAAGGCCATCATCGGAGTAACTGTTTTTGTTTTTCATTTTACGGACAATAGATAGTAATTCGCGTTCAGATACAGGGTTAAGAGATATGGATTGAGTTATAGTAGGACCCAAGAGTTTCATGGGGTCAGCCTTACCCGGTAGGAGGTTGAAAGAATGTTTGATTGAAACGTTTGCAAAGTGTTCGTTCAGACAGTCGCAAATCTCCTGTTTGTTGTCAACTGTTTTGTTGCTTACAATGAGTTTGGATATGGATGAGTTGGGCGGTTTTTTGTTTAGTGCACATCTTGTCAAATTCCATTTGGCCTTGATGTCGTTGGGAGAATTACTGAGTTTATTTGTGTAATATTCTCGTTCTGTTTTTCTTTTTATGGTTGTAAACATGTTGCGGAATTTTTTGTACTCAGAAATATTGTTTGGAGTAGGATTACGGAGGCTTTTAATGAAGAGCTTGTTTTTTTTATTGGATAGTTTTTTAATATGTGTGTTGACCCAGCTTTTGTTTTTTGGTTTAACAGGTAAAAATGGAGCAAATGTATTTATCGCTTTATTGAGTATGGCATATAGCTGTGATAAGGAATCATTAACATTGTCTATCGTGATCACTGACGTCCAGTCTTGAACAGATAACGAATGGTTGATGTCATATAAAGATTTTGGAGTCAGAAGTCTGGAGTATTTTTGTGGTGCAGAATAATTAAGTTTATTGAGGTTAGATGCGATGGTAAAAATAGGAAAATGGTCTGAGAAGTCAGATAAGACTGTTCCAGAAAAATGAGTAGTAATATTATTTGTGTAGATATTGTCAATTAACGAGGAAGAGGAAGACGTAATGCGTGTGTCAGAGGTTATAAGTGGAAGAAAGTTGTACGATGATAGAAGGTTGGGAAAAGCTGATACATGAGAGGATCAAAAAAAAATTTATTAAGATCGAGATTCGGCTTCGCAGTTAACTGAATAGCTGATTCCCTGTTTGATGAAAATCCCGACACCACCACCTTTTTTGTTAGATCTGTTTTTAAAAACAAAGTTATAATTAGGCATATTAATATATTTAGCAGTGTCATCATTTAACCAGGTTTCAGAAATTATGATAAGTGGAAAAAAATTTGAAAGGGAATCGTTTAGTATTAACAAATCTGCCATTTTATTGAACAAACTACGACTATTGGCATGAATAATAGATAAATTTTTATCAGTTTTAAAAAAATTGTTAAGTATGAGGTTGTTTAAATTGTTTATGGGGTAATTTTGAAAGTTATTGATAAAATGTCTGAAAAATTAATACTGTTATTGGATGGCTTGACAGAAACTAAATCAGAAGATGTATCGCTGGAATCAGGCAGGTTAGTACATGGAGAGTTGCTTGTGTTTCTATTCATGATTGTTATTTGTTGCTTGGCCTTTTTTTCATTATGCAAGAAACGCCATTCTCGTACAATTATATTTTTGGGTATGATGTTTGGATCGTTGATTTTAGGAGAATCTATTTTGTCAATGCAGACACGAAACATTGATAAATCTTGGTTGTCACGATTGGTGTGGGGAACTTTTGATGGCTCGGTATTTTTAAATACCGGGTAACATGATAACACGTTAATCCCGCATGATGATAAAAATTCGCTGACGTCGCTGGCTGAACATTTCTGAATGTTACTCATTGAGTAGACACGTTTGTTGTACAGAACTTTATCGGCTTTTAGTTTGCAGTCAACTTCTTTTTTACCAATAATTTTTGGAGCTAACGTTTGTTTGAATTTGTATCTGCTTTAATGTTGTTGTTGTCAGTGTCGCTGTTTAATGCGCGCGGGCGTTTATTTTTTCTGGTGACAAGAGTGAACGACGAGTCTTCGGTCGGGGTTCTTGAAATATCGGACCACAGGGGTTTTCCAAGCTGGACGGTAGAGTTGGCAAATGGAATATTCAGCAAAACAGTAGGTTTAATGTTTTCAGAGTTGGCAGTTTTACAGTTGTTTTCAACATTTATATTTGACAATAAACTTGTTTTGTTTTTTAAGACTTGAATATCATGTTTATTAGCTTCGATTATATTGTTTAAGCGCACCTGTTGAGAGTGAACAATGTCTCTAATTTCGTTTTTTAAATTAACAAAATTCAAGTTAGCTATACTTTCTAACTTTGGAATTTTTACCATATTATAGCTGACAAATATTGAACATTTGTCTAACATATTGTTAGTTTTCAGATATTTAAAAAGCGAGAGACATTCAAGTAATTTGTCCTTTTTTTTGTTCCCGCGCATTTGTAATTTGTCGTTGTTGTCCAATTTTAAGTTTTCAATATCGCTTTTCAACAATTTAATAGCAGTAATGATATCCTCGTTTGTGTAAAAGTCAGATATGTTGTTTATAAAAGTTTCATTATCAATTAATTCGACATTATTGTTTACGAAATAGAGCAACTCGTTAATCACAACAACACGTGCCGCCATCTTGCCGGAACATGTATGTATGTATGTATGTTAAAACCAAAACATGATGAGTGACACTGAACCGTCAAACATCAAGTAACAAATGGATTAACACTTTGAATGTATGTATGTATGTATGTATGTATGTATGTATGTATGTACGCATGTATGTATGTATGTATGTATGTATGTATGTATGTATGTATGTATGTATGTATGTATGTGCGAGCCCTTGGTTAAAAACAATAGCCATAAAAACTATCATTTCGCCCCTGCTCAACAGATAATATTAGTGTACAGGGTCTCGCACAGAAGGGCATGTATGTATGTATGTATGTATGTGTGTGTGTGTGTGTGTGTGTGTGTGTGTGTGTGTGTGTGTGTATGTGTGTGTGTATGTATGTGTGTGTGTATGTATGTATGTGTGTATATATGTATGTGTGTATGTATGTATGTATGTATGTATGTATGTATGTATGTATGTATGTATGTATGTATGTATGTATGTATGTATGTATGTATGTATGTATGTAT